TGCTCTGGAACAGAGTAATATCGCGTCCACATCGCAGGCTTTGCGATTAGGAAATCGCGACGTCTCAAATCGCAATTTCGATTAATCGCACAGCCCTAGTGTGTGTGTGAATGAGGTTTAGTGCTCACATGCTGTGACTGCCGCTTTCTGTGCGTGTGCTTCGGATGTGTGCGCTCAGAAAAGTTTAAACTAATATGGTTTAAAACACATGATTTCAGCACGATAAACATGATAATCAGAACCAAAACAGATGTTTTTAGCAGGTCCGAGCTGTAATGGCGCAGCTCTATTCTGGAAAAGGGGGCGGGGAGCAGCAGCTAATTTGCATTTAAAGAGACAGGCCTGAAAAACAGCGCAGCTCATTTGCATTTAAAGAGACAGGCCCGAAAAACAGCGTGTTTCTGCTTCCACTCAAAATAGGCATTTTCAAAATGATATAATAAATGATCTGTGGGGTATTTTGAACTGAAACTTCACAGACACATTCTGGGGACACCAGAGACTTATATTACATATTGTAAAAAATGGCATAATATGTCTCCTTTAATGACACATTCGTTAGGCGTCACCTGCTCTTTCTGCAGCATGTCGGCTTTGCGAAGGATCTTCATGGCGTAAACATGTCCCGTGTCTTTCTTCTGGACCAGACGCACCTGCAGACAGCAGAAACACACTTATTTACTGTATAACACAAACACACACACACAGAGATTCATCAGTGTGTCATCAGAGCTCATTATCATAATCACCTCCCCAAACGCTCCTCGTCCAATCACCTTCAGCGACTCGAAGTCGTCCAGACCCAGTCTGGTTCTCTTCAGCCGCAGGAACTCGGTCTCCTTACGAGCGTGTTGGGAGCGACGCATGCGCTTCTGGAACACAACATTCACGTATATGCCAATATTTATATATTCATATACTTATATGTAAAGACACATTTACTGTAACAATAACTAAGTAAGATAGCTATCTAACTAAGGTAAGCCGATATAAAGAATCGCAAAGTCCACATCACAACTATAACATTCACAACTATTTTTTTTCCAGCTGACGTACGATGAAAGCAATGACAATCTAATATAGTTATCGTTATAGTTAAGTTATCATTAGCATTTACGTTATCATTATAGTAACGATTAAAATTAGGATTACAGTTATGATTATAGTTATCATTATAGATATCGTTACCATTATAGGTATTGTTATCATTTAACTTATTGTTACTGTTATGAGATATCGTTTGTTTACAGTTATCGTTATCATTTAGCTTTACGTTATCATTAAAGTTATCATTATAGTAACAATTATAATTACAGTTATGATTATAGTTATCATTATAGATATCGTTATCAATATAGGTATTGTTACCATTTAACTTATTGTTTCTTTACAGTTATCGTTATCATTTAGCATTAAGTTATCATCATTATCATTTACATTATCATTATAGTAATGATTACAGTTATTATTATAGTTTTCATTATAGCTATCGTTATCATTATAGGTATTGTTACCATTTAACTTATTGTTACGAGATATCGTTTGTTTACAGTTTTCGTTATCATTTAGCTTTTTTATTACAGTTATCATTATGATTAACGTTATAGTTATCGGTACAGATATAGCTATGATTACAGTTATCATTATAGCTACTGTTATCATTATAGTTATTGGTACAGATATCATTATAATTACAGTTGTCATTATAATTACAGTTATCATTATAGTTATCGGTACATATATTGTTATGATTACAGTTATCATTATAATTACCATTATCGGTACAAATATTGTTATGATTACAATTTTCATTAAAGCTATTGTTGTCATAGTTATCGGTACAGATATCGTTATGAATACAGTTATTGTTATAACTAATGTTGTCATTATAGTTATCGGTACAGATATCGTTATGATTACAGTTGTCAATATAATTACCATTATCATTATAGTTATCAGTAGCAATGTTGTTTTGATTACAGTTTTCGTTATAGCTACTGTTATCATTATAGTTATTGGTACAGATATCATTATGATTAAGTTATCATTATAATTACCATTATCGGTACAAATATTGTTATGATTACAATTTTCGTTAAAGCTACTGTTGTCATAGTTATCGGTAGAGATATCGTTATGATTAAAGTTCTCATTATAATTACCGTTATCATTATAGTTATCAGTAACAA